TGCAGAAGATTGAGGACGGTCGAAGAAGATTCAGGATAATCAAAGAAGATTGAGGACGGTCAAAGAAGATCAAGGACGGTTGACAAAGATTGAGGAAGATCGAGGACAGTTGACAAAGAAATAAGAAGATTGAGGACGGTTGAAGAAGAAAGAAGAAGTTCAAGGACGGTCGACGAAGAAAGAAGAAGATCGAGGACAGTTGACAGATATTGAGGAAGATCAAGGACGGTTGACAAAGATTAAGGAAGATCGAGGACAGTTGACAAAGAAATAAGAAGATCGAGGACGGTTGACAAAGATTGAGGAAGATCGAGGACAATCGAAGAGGATTGATGATGATGAAAGAGGTTTTGGAGGAGAGCGAGACAGGAAGCAGGTACTTTGAAGCTCTTGAGACTGATGGTAGAATGTCTCCGATCGGAGGTGTTGATACCTGTGAGACCGAGCTTGTAGCTAGTTGGCCAACATGTGGTTTTTGGCTGCAGTAGAATCTAACATTGGTGTTTGAATTGTACAGTTTGAGAAATGTATTTTTTGGTTTTTGGTTTTTGGTTTTTGGTTTTTTGATTTTTTGATTTTTGGTGTTGCTGGTACTTTTTGTCGAAAGGTGACAATGCGATGAAAACAGTGTTGACCACTGGAAATTTGGGCAAAAAGGGGTTTCTGCCATGACTTTTACCCCAGTACAGGGGTTTTATCCCTGTATTTGAGTATTTTCTGTAGTTTTGTCTTTGATTTTTGAATTTCGCACCCGGGGATTGTGATTTTTGATTTTTGAAATTTTGCATTGTCACTTTGGAACGTCTCGCATTCCGTAGATGTTCAACATATAACAAAATAACTCTAAATTAAAAATAAATAAAAAATAAATAAAAAATAAATACATACAAAATACATACAAAAGAAATACAAAAGAAATACAAAAAAAATGAAGAATAAATAAAAAATGAATGAATACAAAATATAAAAACAAAAAAAATAGAAAAAAAAAAAAAAAAAAAAAAAAAAAAAAACATATGACTTAATGAAATAGATACCAAAAAAACAATACACTTGGATGCCCCCCCCAATGAAAAGGGCACACAAGGACTGCCTCTGAGGCAAAATTTGGCCGTTGCCGTTGCCTCGGATCGGAGCCTTGGATAGAGCTTCCCTTGGGGTCAAAATCCGGGGTCTCCTTAGATTTTCACATCCAAGTTAAATTGGCTGGCTGTGCAGTGACAATAGTCACTAAACTGCCTGATGTAAAAGAGATCAATCAGTCTGTTTTGTGATCAAAGAGATCCAAACATAGTCAGATCTCCTATCTTGCTCAATGCGTGTCTTATCATGCCAATCTACCAGTTAGTATGCCTGCTCTCATGGTCAATAGATAATGTGGCAGTGCTTTGGAGAGCTTATTTATAGCTACTTGAGCAATTGCTTTGGGTGAATCATGTGGAACAGTAGATAAAATCAATTGAAGATTATTAAGTGATTGTAATGAAACTAAACATGATTAAGTGGAGATCCTTGAGAAGACTGTTCAGATATGTGACGTACATGCTCAGCTTGCTGGGTCAACTCATTGGGTTCCTTTGTGATTCAACATTGGTTTTGAGGTTGAAATCAAAAGTTTTGGAAGGAATCCAGTCTCCAGAGCCCCTGTATACAGGGGGAGATTTGATACTTCCAGATAAATGGGCTGCCCCAGAAAAAAGATCAGCATGCCTCCAAAGAGCAATCAAGATTCCTTGAGGGGGCTCATTAGTATTGGCATCCTCCTCTGATCTTCTAATTGTCCCATAGATTGAATAGCCATGGCCAGCTGTGATAGCATAACCTAGTTTGGGAAAAAGAAACTACTTGTTCACAACATTTTGTCCAAGAATGTATGCAGAAGCATACAACATTAAATTTCCACCATCCCAATAGTAATTTACTTCAGTACCAACAGATGTATGTCTGCCTGCACACATTTATCACAGAGCGGTGTCAACAACAGTTCAAGATGGATAGAAGTCAAAAACACTTACCCACCAAGAGTGAATTCTTGGCCAGCTCTTTGATAGTTTTTGCACCCGGAGGAGACAGGGAGTGATCCAAAATCACCTTCAAACATTTCATTGCTACACGGCTGGAAGGTCTTGATCAAGATTCAAGATGTTTTGTTTTGCCAAAGGATTTTGGATGGGAAGTGTTCATTGAGGTCACACTTTGTGACAGTGTCCTGTCACAGGTTGATTTGGGTTGGGAGCTGATAGTTGTAGACTGGATCTACCACTAAGCCTTGACAATCAGTGCCAAGCCGCATTAGGGTGTGACCAGTGCTGCCCAAGGGCTTATAGGTTGGGAAAATCCGATGTTATGTACCTCCCTAAATGAATGAGGGAAAGATGAAAAGAGGAGAAAATAATTACTGTACTAAATCCATATTCAACAGCCTGAAAAGGCACCTGTGGCTACTGGACAGTTCGAACATAAGCCGATGTGAAGTGTGTAATTATTGTCGGCCAATAGTTGAGATCCCCCTTCCGACGCGGCCAACACGTTGGATCCGACACTGATCTCCAATGAAATTCTTCAATAAATTCCGTCACAGCCTGCGGCTCCATAGATATGAACAGATATGAACACCTACTAAATGTGAATCAATCGAAATCGTGTACCCAGATATGGAAGACAAAGTGACGGCACATTCACATACCTGTGAATGGGATTCACAACAACGTGAACTTAGTTCACATGTATGTGAATCACATTCAGCATCCATCCCGAATGATCATTAATAATGGAAATGGCAAAAGCCTCCCAGTATATCCCTGTGACAACCACCATATCTGAATCAATTAAATTCACGTGAATACTGTTATGACCTTATGCGTACAAGGCTTTTTCCATATGCTTATACATGGATGCCTATTATCTCCATTGTCGTGCGCACTAGTTGTTGTGATCCTTACTTAGCAATTCATATAGTAATCCCAGAGGATCCTCAAACCTCTCTTTCATCTCTCACTCAAGTCATATCAGGTAGATACGATTGTTCAGGAAGCCTTACTCATTTGTCAACGCAGATTGGCTAAAGGTACGAGATCAACCGAAATCAGAAATGTCACCAGTTTCTGAACAAATCTGCAGATAGGATAGAGGCTACCCTTCAATTTCCTCGAACAATCATCACTACATCTTCTCAACTCATAGGCTCAAGCTGGATGATACACAGGTTAGTAAACTCTCATTTCAGCTCAACCAATTTCTGTGATGGATCATCCAATTGTGATATCCTTCCAATTTGGACCTCCAGACTTTGGTTGAGCACTCATTTCATTCATTTTTTGATCATCAAACACCATGCCCGTGTGGTGTTTGCTCATCGACGAGCGCACACGAGTCGCCTTTGTGCCTCAATGGGAATTCGTGTGCGCTCGTCGTCGGGCGACTGCCACAAGGACATGGTGAAAGCTAAAATATTGACTACAACTTGATACAACTTATTCAATCGACTCTTAAGAATCAAGCTCATCAACTTCAAAGGAAAACCCATTTAAGAGCATAGAACGAAATCGATCAACTCATCGATTGAACATAGAACTCATCCTTCCAGATCTACCTCTAAATCATGAACCATTACCTTCACCTAATTATTATCCATTCACAACTTTAACTAAACCAATGCATCATCCTGGAATCTTTTTACTCAAATTACATTCTCCACCTGATAATCGACTTGATCAACAATTCATTGAGCTTATAACCAATTCGGGATCTCCTCTTAGGTCTTACCTGCTCTTTCAGATGTTGAAAGAGAATTTAGAGCTTCTGGTATCAATAATCTCGCATCGGCCAATAGATCTAGTTCAGGTTGGTTCTTCATCACTTTGTTCTTGTCCTCAGGAGTGATACCAGAAGTTGAAGTTGAAGAAAAACATAATCCAAGAAGAATCAGCTGGCAAACTCATCAACACTGATCCTCACAATCATGTTATCAAAGATCATACCAAAGATCTGATCAACATTCTTGTCAACTCTCAGCTCCAGCTCCAGGTCAATTAGGTCACGGTTGTAATGTGGGTGGTTTGCCTACTATCCCTGCTATTGAAAGTACTCATTGATTATACTATAATTTCACTATTTTTGGATGCTTTCTTTTTTCACAAATGATCTTCATACTCATCCTCACAAAGCCCCTATGCAACTTCAACTCCTGTAACTCTTTTCTTCATCTACTTTGTGATTGTGTCATCTCTTCTTTTTACACTTACCTTTTTTTCATTACCAGTTTGGCACTGAAATTGGTTATGGGAATTGGGGTTTGATTTGTGTGTAATTCAACTGATCCCTCTTCAAATGATAAAAATCAAACAAGATTGAACAAACTTTAGCCATTCCATTAGTTAATTGTGATAAACCTTCAGATACAATTGACGCTTGTATGAAATCTTTGTGGGGTGAATTGAAGTTGAGTTTTATATTTTTATTGGACCTTGATTGAATTGTTAAAATATCATTCAATCATCTTGACCAACATTTTATTCATGTTTTTGTTTCTTGAAGGACATTACATAGGTTTGAATCCCATCCATCACCTAATGTTCCTGTGATTTCATAAGCTGATTTTTGGAATAATCATAATCTCAATCATGACACACTTCCAACTCTGTTTTTAGTTGTATTTCAATTGGGATACAAGGCCTTTGGCACTTTAATCAAATCAACTGAAATCTACACCAATGAGTATCAAATCTACTATCTTCAATCACCGTGTAACTGGTTGACTCTACCCAAGGAGAAACCAATACTTCAGCTAATGGAGGAGAATCCAGTGTGTAGTGTATCACATAGAAAGGATGCCATCTGCATGATATGATCTCTTGAAAGCGGCGCCCGCCGCTGATGTGCTAGTTATACCTAATTGACCATACCCATTAAGTTCCCTTCACTTTATTACCTTTGTGAGATTGTTCATTGATAACAACCTATTCTTCTCTGAAATGATTTGTATGGAAAGTTTTTTTTCATTAGAAATGACTTTTTGAAGGTGTAATCGCCTCTTCTATTTCTTTCACTTCCATCACATTTTGTCTTTCAAATTCAGAAGAACTACATAATGACTGGTTGGATGTTTTTCACCTGAAGTGTTTATGAAGTGAAGGAAATAGATCTTAGGGAAAACACAGGCAGTCTGAGAAGCTATCCATCCGACAAACCTGTAGTGCCTTGATGGATGCCCAATGATGTGTCTGCAGGACGTACCTGCTTTGGTTCCAAGAAAGATCTCATTACACCTCTGAGAGTCTTCCTCTTACAAGAAACTGTCAATGGAAACCATCTTATCAAAAATAAAAGTAGACAAAGTCAAAAGTGCTAATTGCTTTCCAAAGTCAGAATAATTAACAAATCAAATCATGAATCGCTCGCTTGGTCAACATAGTGTATTACTAGACATAGAAACAAGTTTGAAAGATAATAGGTTGGAAAGATGAAACATAGGTGCTTTCAAAAGTCAGAATAGTGAACAAATCAAATCATGAATCGCTCGCTTGGTCAACATAGTGTGTTACTAGACATAGAAACAAGTTTGAAAGATCATATGTTGGAAAGATGAAACATAAAAAATCACCTACATTGTTTCTTCTTTAATCGGTCAAGAGTCTCTTGGGCTTTGATTTTGCTAAGATACATCCGATACAAAAACAAGGCACTACCAAAATACTTGGGAGAAGGGATATTCAATGTCTTGTAGCACTTCAATTCCCAAGGAAGTGGGACTTGATTTTTATAGCTTTGTATAGAGCCACCCATAGAAACCCCCATTCTCTCATACTTGATGTTTATTTGTACTGCAGTGCCAATGCGAGTAAATTCTCCGGACGGTTCGAAGCACTCCCGGGTACAATGGAGATCTTTGCTACCTCGCCACAAGATCTCCGTTATGCGATTACAAGTTGAAAAATTGACTTCACAGTTCAAATCAGGCCACCAGAACTCGCCACCTTTTATATCACATCCTTTCAATGCAAGTTCGCCCGTCTTCTTGTAGATTGAAAAAAATACCATAAGACCATCTGGAAGAATAGTTGTCTTGATGCGGGATACTGGTGAATGCGTCACTTGTAAAGGTGAAATTTCCAGCAAAGCTCTATTCCTTTTGACTTTGTTTTAAATGAGTCAGTTGAGAAAAACTAAGTAATTTGAGGTCTTTCAAGTGTTCTTGAGCTTCTTCAAATAAGGATTTGGAAAGTGATTTAAAATATTGCGCATAAATATGTTCAACTTTGGGGCATCGACATACACATCGTCTCCAGCAGTGGATGAGCAACTTGCGGCTGGATTGAACCCTCTTACAAGGACAATAACCACCTATACAATCAAAAGATTCAAAAATAAAGATACATCCAAAAGGGCTAAGAATAACAAGAGAAGAGAAGAATAAAATTTATACAAAAAGAATGAGAGACTGACCACCAATTTCCCCAGTATAATAAGCTTTGCAATAACCCACAGCTCCCATGTAACCTCTCAACATTGCACAATTAGACTTGACAGGATTACTGTGCTTGCGCTCATTACGTAAATAAGTAGAAATGAATTCAAGCTCAAGAAGTTTGGATTGGAACATGGAAGTGAAAGGAGTTTGGCGGACTACAGCAACTAATTTGCAATTTCTTTTGTTGAGAAGCACCCAAACTGGCGAAACTTCAAGTTTAAAAGGCTTTCTTAAAGGTCCATTGAGATATTGCTTTGGTTTTGGTTGATCTTCCACTCTAACAAGGTGAAACTTTTGGTGTGGTTTACTCGGATCATTCAATATCTTGATCAAATCTCAATTTTGACGAGCGGCATTCTTCAATCTTTTGCGCTCACAATCAGGCTGCAAAGTTTCACTATCAGCCGATTTCAATGACGCAAGAGAGAGAAATTATACATTCATCCGCACTCGTCTTTGAAGGTGCATACCGCGCTTTTTGTTGCTTGGCTTTGGTGCGATGATGTCCATGGCGTCCCATCGCATATAAAAAAAAAGAGTTGTTGGGGGCTTTTGGAATGGACTTGAAGAATGGGGAAGAACCCGAGCGCTTTGGAATTCAGTACTTATCTGATTGATCGATTATGATTGACTTGTGGTTGCATTCAGGTGGATTGTTCTGGAACTTTTCCACAAAGGTTCCAGAACAATCCTTTCACACCATATGCTTTCCTTGCACATGTCTCTAAGATCATCATGGCTAAAGAATCAACTAAAGCTAATCAACCACCTCCAAGTTCTACCACTGGCCAGCAATCTCCTGACCAGAACACATCTCAATCTCAATCCTTACACGTGATTCTTGTTGGAGGTGAATTGATTTCTACGGAATGCGAGATGTTCCAAAGTGACAATGCGAAATCTCAAAAATCAAAAATCACAATCCCCGGGTGAGAAATTCAAAATTCAAAGACAAAACCACAGAAAATACTCAAATACAGGGATAAAACCCCTGTATTGGGGTAAAAGTCATGGCAGAAACCCCTTTTTTCCCAAATTTCCAGTGGTCAACACCGTTCTCATTGCATTGTCACCTTTTGACAAAAAGTACCAGCAACACCAAAAATCAAAAAATCAAAAAACCAAAAATCAAAAACCAAAAACTAAAAAATACATTTCTCAAACTGTACAATTCAAACACCAATGTTAGATTTTACTGCAGCCAAAAACCACATGTTGCCCAACTGGCTACAAGCTCGGTCTCACAGGTATCAACACCTCGAATCGGAGACATTCTACCATCAGTCTCAAGAGCTTCAAAGTACCTGCTTCCTGTCTCACTCTCCTCCAAAACCCCTTTCATCATCATCAATCCTCTTTGATTGTCCTCAATCTTCTCAATCTTTGTCAACCGTCCTTGATCTTCCTCAATCTTTGTCAACTGCCCTCGATCTTCCTCTTTCTTTGTCAACCGTCCTTGATCTTCTTCTTTCTTTGTTGACTGTCCTCAATCTTCCTCAATCTTTGTCAAGCGTCCTTGATCTTCCTCAATATTTGTCAACTGTCCTCGATCTTCTTCTTTCTTTGTTGACCGTCCTCAATCTTCTTCTTTCTTCATCAACCGTCCTCAATCTTCTTCTTTCTTTGTCAACCGTCCTCGATCTTCCTCAATCTTTGTAAACCGTCCTTGATCTTCTTTGACCATCCTCAATCTTCTTTGATTATCCTGAATCTTCTTTGAACGTCCTCAATCTTCTGCAATCCTCATTGAATCACCTTCTGTCTCCATCACCAACTACACACCAACATGCCAGCAAAAATATCTGATGAAATCTTGCGACCCCTTGTTGAAGAATCTGTAGCTAACAACTGGCCAGCACAAAAAGTATGCGACACTGTTTGGCAACGGCACAACATCCGAGTCTGTGTAAGAACTGTTAGAAGACAAATCAAAGAAGGGGACTTGAAACAACAAGGAAATTATGATGTGGAGGTTGTAAAGGAAGCAGTATTAGATAATTACAAACAATCTCTGAACCAAAAGCAAGCTCTCATTGCCCTTAAAAACGAACACAACATCATCATCAGCCGGTCAACTTTAGCTTGAGTTGAGAAGCAACTCAATCTTCACCGTCAAAAGGATGATCTTGACATGGGTGTAGTAACATATGCCACCATATGTAACAAGATTGAAGAACTTCAGATTGAATATGGAAATGTACTTGGAATCAAGAGTGTCAAGAAGATGCTAGCTCAGGAACACGAGCTTCACATCCACCGGCAAGTCTTTGGGCCTTCTTGATTCCTTTTGCTCTGATGCTAATTACATTCCAAATCCACTTTGATATAGTGATGTTATTCCGGCTATTATGAAAGCAATGGACCCAGATGCTGTCAGAATGAGAGCTGCTCATAAACTCAAGCAACGGGAATACTATGCAGGCGGTCTCAATGAGGTTTGGGCTTCCGATGGACACGACAAGTTGATGAACTTTGGAATTGGTATATATGGTTTCATTGATTGCTGGTCTCGAAAGATTCTTGGACTTCATGCTTATGTCAACCACAGCGACCCCCGCCATGTTGACTTGTGGTATCTGGGCCTTGTATAAAAACAAGGTGGCATTCCCAAAAAGCTCACCACGGATCGAGGAACTGAGACTGTTCCTCTTGCTGGACATCAACTTTATCTTGGACAAACTCACGGTTCCAGAGCTCCAAACTGGCCTTATCATCAATATGTTCCATCCCCTCGTAACCAAAAGATTGAGTGCTTCTGGGACAAAATGACTTGTGGACTGACTGGAAATATCAAAGCTAAAATTCAAGAGCACATTGATCAAGATTTATATGATCAACATGATCCAATGGCTAGGTGAAACTGCTTTTTTTTTCTTTGGTGATTCCATGCTGAAATCTTTATTATTGCTTTTCAGGGCCTTGTTTCTCATCCTCTTTATCCCCATCTTTCAACAAGCTCTGGACAAATGGGTCAAGTTTTACAATGGTTTCTGCAGACGATACAACAAGCGGTCTAAAGTACCTACGGGATTTTCTGCAGACTACTGCTACAAAAACCCCGTTGAAGAGTTTGGTGGGATGGATTACCTCATACCAGTCCCAGGTGAAGCGGTGGATGCTATCATTTCTGATGATTACGCGGAGCAAGAACACTTGTGGAGCACAACCCCTGAGTGGTTTTCCCCGGTAGTTGATCAAGTCATTCCATTTCCAGTTGTGGTACTGACTATGTCATGTTATAATGTGGTGGTAGATTATAATCTACACCACCGCTGTGCCGGCGGATTTCTTTACACACCCTGCTCTATCCTTGCCTGTCTGGTGAGGATAGAGCTGTTTGGGAAAGCCGCAGGCTGCTCTCGGATTGGTTCTGTAAACCATTCCCGCTGTGGGCAGCCTGCCTTCAGCCTGGGTCGGTGGGTGGGCAAATCATCTCTGTTTGCTGGGTGGGAGGGATTGCATTCAAAACTTTGATATGATTCTAGCAAACGAAGATGAGTTCAACTGGCTGCGGTGAAGAGGTTCTAGATGAGTGTGAAGGAATTTCTCTAAGTTCTCCTTCGAGATTTGAAATTCCAACTCTCTTTGAGAGATCTAGGTTTCACACGTCTTCTGGTACCTTTCACCGAAATGGACCGTGTCACCAATTCATCCTTCTAGGTGACTATAATCCATTTCCAGTTGTGGTACTGACTATGTCATGTTATAATGTGGTGGTAGATTATAATCTACACCACCGCCGTGCCGGCGGATTTCTTTACACACCCTGCTCTATCCTTGCCTGTCTGGTGAGGATAGAGCTGTTTGGGAAAGCCGCAGGCTGCTCTCGGATTGGTTCTGTAAACCATTCCCGCTGTGGGCAGCCTGCCTTCAGCCTTCGAACCCTCCCACCCTCCTATGTGTCTTGGAGGGTTAGGGTTGTCTGACGTCCCTACTCCAAGAATGGTTCGTGGTAACACGTGCCGTCCTTGGCCTGGAGGACAACCCCCTACCACGGTGCGTGTGTCACGGTGTAGAAGGTATTACTGTTCAATGCCCGTATAGTTTAGATATGCTGCAATGTACAAAGTTTTCAATTACCATTACTCTGCATCTTTTGGTTTATCGCAATCAAAAATAATTTTGTACGTTCTAATTCTTCTGACGTGAAAACCTTTACATATCTCTTATACAAGTCTGATTTCCATCTGCCTGCCGCCATCAACCGTTTTTCCTTCGTTCCCAAATTTGCTCGAAGTGAAGCTCCTCCCACTCGGAAGGAGTGGCCTGACCAAGCTCCGACCCCTGTGGTACCCCACACCTCTTCTAAAACCTTCATAAATCTTCGTTTCGTTAAGGCTCCACCGCTGAACTCGAAGAATGGATCGTCTCTATCTTTCTTCGGATTGTTTTCCATCAGTCGGCGGACTGCTGCCACGGGGTCTAGGACGGAAGGTTGTTCCTGTAGGTGGATCTGTTGAATTTCATTCGGCTTTGCTGTCTTCCCTTTCCTCAAGTTGATTTTCACCCACTCTCCTTTCGTAGATCGGCCGAATTCGATGTGACGCCTCAAGATCATACCGTCTCTTTCCAACTTCCTGAAAACTTCGCCCAGTCTCATAAGTCCCCAGAAGCTAACTAACGCTATCGCCGCTACGAACTCGTGGACATCCGACTTCCCTTCGCAGTAATCTAGGAGATGAAGTAGCTGTTGAACTGTCACCGGCCTCTTGCTATTTGTGAGTAGTTCACCTTCCTCCTTGTTTCTCGTTGCTCTGAGTAACATTTTCACAATTGTTTCATCTAAATCTATCTTTCTAACGTGTCTCACTAGGTGCCAAGCTTGAATGCCGTCGATGTATTTCCGTATTGTCTGCGACGCTATCAGCCTTTTCGGTGGTGCTGTAACTTCGACACCCGATCTTCCAGCCCACGTTATGAAGTTATACATATCGTCTCGACGGATTCTCAGCCGGTGATCGAAAGTCTTCCCCGTTGACTCGATGTACTCTATGAACTTTGATAAACCGGATGAGTAACCTTTAAGTGTCGTTTTCGCCCAACTGCTGTTCGCTAGATGAGCCCCTGGCTTGGATGTTATTAACAATGCCGTTCCGAAGTGACCTGGTGGTCCTTCGCTCTTCTTGGTTTTG